AGAAACAGTGTATAATTTTTGGAATATTTTTCAAATTTTTTCAATTTGAAAAAATTTCTGTCTGGGATTTTTCAATTTTTAAATTTTTTATCTCTGCGTCTCATTTTTTCTCGTTATATTTTTTGGCTGAACAAATTTTTTGTCAAATCATTTTTCACATGATCGCATTGAAATTAATTAATTAAATTAATTAATTAATGTTTGTTTGTTTGTGGTGATTTTTAATTTATTGTCGTTTGTATTTGCCATATTATTCATCTGAAGATTGTACGCTAAGCGTGTGTGCCTTGTTGAAATTTCTATTTTTTATGGAAATTTTTATTTTTATGAAAAATTTCCATTTTATGAAAATTTTGAAAAAAATATTTTTTGGAAAATTTTTAAAAAATATTTTGGAACAGTGAAATGTAAGAAAAAATGTGAAATTGAATTGTGGAAAATAAAAAATTTAATAAAAATATTTTCAAACTGTAATCATTGGCTTTAATAAATTTTAAGAAACGTTCTATCGACGATGGCAAGCCATCTGCCAGCTTGTCCTATTTATTATTATTTATTATTGTATATTATTATTTATTATTATTGTAATTATTTATTATTATCAGGTCAAAGGTCAAGTTAGCGGCTAATTTCAGGTTTTTCAGGTNTAATTATTTATTATTATCAGGTCAAAGGTCAAGTTAGCGGCTAATTTCAGGTTTTTCAGGTCTCTTTGGTAGAAAATTTTTTCATTTTGTTGAAATTTTTTCACTCGCAACAGCCACGCAGCAGTGAAGATGAGTGTACACGCCACAGAGAGCAGCAGCACTAAAGAGAAATACACACCGGTAAGTTGGTGGTGATGGTGCCAAAAAATTGGATCGTTTCCAAAATTTTAGCCCCGCCCACTACAGTACCTACTCTAACAATTACAGTAACCGCTTGACTGTTCTATCGTAGTGGAGTATACTGTAATGTGGCTGCTTACAGTATCCGGCGATTCCGGCCGATATTGGCTACGCGTGCGGTAAGAGTACGACGGGGGCGGCCAGAAATGGGATTTGGCAAAGTGCCATCGCCAATCCGCCCGTCATTCTGGGGTTGGGCTTGACGGGCGCCGCACTTTTGGGCATGTTCCGCAAGTCGTTGATGGGCGATAAATTCGGCGCCCAGAAATATATGAGGTCGGTTTATTATTTATTATTATTTATTATTATTAATTAATATTTATTATTAATTATTATTTATTATTATTATTGTTGCTGTCGTGATAATTGGCTTGGACGA